GCGCCCCCCCCCGCGCCGCCGCCCCCCCCCCCTCCCTCCATGGCTGCGGCGCCGCCACCTGACAACGGAAGTGACGCACCACCGCCCTCCTCCCCGGCCCGAGCCGCGGCCCCGCCCCCTCGTCCGCGTCCGCCGCCTGCGGCCCTCGGATTGGGGCGTCATCTTGACGACGGGCGGAAGCCTTCAGGCAAGCGACCGGGATCAGATTGCGGATTGGTCCGGGGCGGGGCCTGGGCCGGAACCTGTGAAACGATTGGAGGCTGGGCCTGGGGGGGGCGGTACTTACCGCTTATCTATGCCTGCGGTGAGGCTGGGACGGCGGCACCCCCCGCCCTGACTGCACACCGCCTGGCCCGCCCTACGCTCGCCCTGCGGGGATAGGGAGTCTCCCGCAGTTGGAAGACTGGCAGCTTGTGGTGTTTTTATCAAAAAAGTGACTCTCCCTTGGTCCCCCTTTTCCGGTTTCTGGAAGTCTGTGCGGAAAGCGCTGCAGTTCAGCTCAATGAAAGACAGGAATTCCTGTCGCAGCGCTTACAATTCATTTCCCCGTGGGGCTCTGCCTTTGTGGAAACCCCGATGCTGGCCAGCTTCAACCTGGAAATCCCGGGAGTCTTGACCTAAGGTTGACAGGGAAGAGTTAGTTCCTATTAACGACCGGCCATCTAACCTCAGTCGCTCCTACTGCAGTTTCGGTCCCTTACTCCTCCTCCTCCGGGCAACCACGCCCTCCATGAATCAGCTTCTTGCACCAGCAGATGAGCCCTTTAAAGGGATTGCATCAGGCTGGTGACTCACTGGGGCCTCTGAGAGCCTGGCTTCCCTCTGACAAGCAGAAGCAGCTTGTAGGGCTCGGGAGCTGCAGCACCCAGGGCCGGGGCCCCACTTCTCGGTCTCAGAGGTGTGAGCCTGGGCGCTTGCTGCTTATCACTGCCCAACTCTCAGCTGTCTTTGCAGCTGTCCCCTGGGTCACTCTATGTGGATTCATGTGTCCAAACCTGTGTGCAATGCCTAGGATATGTGGCTGGGCACTTAGGAGTTTACATTTGTCCTTCACACAGCCAGGGTATGAGAGTTGGCATGAGTGAGGTCTGACTGGCTCTGCTCGCGTCCTGTGTGTGTGTGAATGCCTAACACGCACTGAGCCTGTGCGAAAGCTGAACACCCGGGGCAGTCCGAACGGTGCCCACCATTGTGCTATACTTTGTTAAGCACTTAGAGACATTGGCTTTAGGGTCTGTGCAGATGAGGAAGCTAGAGCTCAGAGAGGGCAAGTGTCCTGTCCAAAGACACACAGCTAATGATTGCAGGGCTGTGATTTGAACTAGGTCTGCTGGATTCCAAAAAGCTGGGGTTTGAGTCCCTGCTGTTTTACTTACAGGCTGGGTGACTGTGTGCAAGCAAGTTCCCTAACCTTCCCTGTCCGTCCAGCTGGAGACCACGTCATGGGACCACTGCTTCATTGAGGCCGGTGACCAGGACAGGCACAAGAAACCAGGCCCAGCCTGCGAGGTTCTTCTCTCTGACAGACGGGAAAGCCTAGGGATTCCGGAAGCCCTGACTCTGACAAGAAGGAGTTTTGGGTTTTCCAGAGTTTTAATTATCGGCTAGATGAATCACTCCGGGCTGACACACCACCACCCTCAACCCCCACCCTCCCCACGGGGAGACTTGGCTGATTCAAAAGGTAAGATTTTAACAACGGAGAGGAGAAGGAAGAGAAAGGGGAGAAGGGGCAGTGAGTAGAAAGTGCAGGTGCCAACCAGAGGGAACAGGAAACTCATCAGGATGCCAGGACTCACACGCGCTGGCCACCTTGTCACAAAGCACCGGACAGCTGCTTGAGAGGCACAGCCGGTCTGCCCATCACAGGAGGTGGGAGACCTTCGGCCCCAGGGCCATCCTAAGGTTCTGATGTCCAGCTCATTGCCTGGCTGGCTTCCGGCTTCTCTTTGAGGCCAAGTCCCCAGGCCTATATCAGGCAATTTTGAGTGCAGACCCGCACAGCACGTCTGGGTATCACCACTCACATGGGTGGAGTCACCTCTTAACCTGTCTCCAGTAAGATGCCAAGAGTGCTGGGCAACTGGACCAGTCGGTGGTGTGGTGGTTCCGGTGGCTGAATTCCACATGGCTGACTATATGGTTTGAGTCCTGGACCGGGCGACTTGAAAAATATGCCAGGTGCATAAGTGTGTTCAAAATGCCAAGAGGGGAATAGAGAAGAGTCTGCAGCATGGCCGCCCTCCAGCGTGGGGGACTCTCACTTTTGCTCTTGTCTATCAGTGGCAACTATTTACTGGTTGGAAATGGGAAGCAATAATATTCATCTGACCAGTTTTCTCTTAAAGTTATTTCCATGATGAAGATGGGGCTCAATTATATTTTTTATTTCAGTCACCCCTGATAAATAGTAAATTTGAAGAAATAAAAACATCTAAAATACAAAAAACAAAAACAAAAACCAAAAAAACAAAAACAAAAACAAAACACGGTGCTGAGAACAAGAGTAAGAGTAGTTAGGGTCGTGGTTTGCAGTCTTTCAAACCTGAGTCCAAATCCCCGGTTGTGGTTGTTCGCCTGGAATTTCCCTGAGCCTGTTTGCCTATCTGTAAACTGGAGTTGGTAAGGGGAAGGGTTGTTAGAACAATGAAATAAAGACTTTCCACAGAGCCTGCTGGTGCACCCACTGTGTGCAGAGCACTGAGCTAGAGTCCAGATCCCAGACGCCAGCTCTACGCTCCTAGAGCTCCTAGTACAGGGCACGCGGGATGCCACCTTGGCACTGTGCCTCACTTACCCCTGGCCCGGGGAGAGCGCCTTCTCTCTCTGGGCTTCCCAACCTTCCCCCCTCCAAAGCTGCTTCTGCCATGAGCCTATGACAGCCCATGACGGAAGTCTGGTCTCCTCCCGTTGTTCCCGCTGGTCTCTCACTATCACTATAGCAGGGAGGAGTGCGATCAGGGAGCAGGCCCAGTTCTCTCCCAGGGTAGAGCTGAAGCCAGTCTGGTCACCCTCATACGCCAAGTGCAGTCTCTCTGGGCCCTTGAACAGGGATAAGAACTCGTGACTCCTGCCACCTTTGGGAGCCTTCAGCCAGGGGCGCCAGCCTGGGACTCACGCAACTGGACCCTCTCCTGTGCGTTCCGTCCTGCTCAGCCAGACCAGGAGGACGTGTTGTGTGGTCCTCCCCCAACCCCAAGTTCCTGGACTCTCCTCTCCAGGAAGGGGTGGGGGTGTGCTCGGTGCCACCTGGGGCTGCCATCCCCTGGGACCCTTGTGCTGCTGGAGCTCCATGAAGGCAGGACGTGTGGGCCTGAATGAGGGCTGGGGCAGTGGGCAGGACACATCCCAGAAGCCAACGTGGCGGTGACGTCCTGTACACATTTTCACCCTGTCCTTCGTGTCCTTTGGCCCTTCCCTGACTCGGGTTACTGTGTGTTCTGGTCTGTTCTGTTGCTAATTACAGAAAAGTTCTGAGTCTGGCTAACTGAAGAGAATCCAGTTTTATTCAGCTCACAGTTTGAAGGGCCAAGGTCCAGTGGCCACCTCTGGTCAGGGACCAGGCAGGAGCATGGTCTGTGTTCCCCAAGTGTTCTTCCTTGTAAACCCACCAGGAGCCAATCATGGGGGCCCACCCTGATGACCCTAATCCTGATCCCCCCAAAGCCCCACCTTTCAACACCATAGCTGGAGGCAGTTTTCACCCCTTAATCCCATTACAGTGGCTCAACACGTGACCCTTGGGAGGACATTGTCACTTCCAGGAGACAGTAATACAACAGAAGGCAGTTCAGTTTTAGCATCTAAATTCCCAGACCTAGCCTTCAGGAAGGAATGGAAGGAATTTCCGTGCAAGAGACAGACTTAGACAGCTGTGTACTGGGGTGTCTGGGAGGCAGACTGGGTGGGGGTGGGTCCTAGGATGGGGCAGCTTCCCCTCTTCCTTGGAGCAGGGCTATCAGCTGGGTTTCAGGGATTGAAAAGCAGAGAAGAGGGGCTGGCAGGTGGCATGGTGGTTGAGTCCTGGACTCTCACATGGCTAACTGCAGTTCAAGTCCCAGACCTGGCGACTTGCTTTCTCACTTTCCCTTTTTCTCTCTCTCTCTGATCAAATTATAATAATAATGGTGATGATGAATAAAATGAAATAATTCTTAAAAAAAAAAAAAAAAAGAAAAGCAGAGAAGAGCTGAGCTCCTTTTCCTGGTAGGGCACCAGAAAGAACCTCCTGGAGGGGTCTGGAGGTGCTGTGGAGGTACCGCGACTCACCCTGCACCCGCAGCCGCACAGGGAAAGCCCAGCGTGGGATCTGGACACCTCCCTGAGCAGGCTGGGTGTGTGTGCATGTGCTGCACATCCGGCCGACTGAGACGGGGAGGATTGCAGCTCGAAGGCTCAGTTGAGGGTGGCCTCCTCACCCATGGAATAAATAAACTTAAAAAAATTAAAAACACCCCGAACTTTCTGGAGAAGCAGTGTGGGCTGCATTTGACCAAGCAGGGCCAGACTAATCAGAGACCCAGGACTTTCTGGGCCTAACGTGGCCGGAGGAGAGCAGGAAAGAGCGTGACCACGGGAGAGGAGGCTCCCCCGCAGGGATCCCTTGGTCTGGAGAAGTGACTAAGTAGCAGCTTCCCTGGGCTGATGACAAAGACCCGAGCAAAACAGACATCTCGGGGGTGCTAGTCCCAAGGGACAGGGACGCTCTCCCCACGTCTTGGCGCCTTGGAAGGAGGCACCCAGAACTCAAGTGTAACTCTGGGGAAAGTGGGGGGGGGACTTTGAATTCACTATAGTTAAGTTTCTTCCCCTTAGGCGGTGGGGCAAATAGGAACTCAGGTGAGTTACAGAAAATTCAGAGGCCAGCCAGGTGGTGTGGAGGTTAATGATGCTGGATCCTGGGACCAGCAGTTGGCGTAATGGCTATGTTGCTGAACTCCCACATAGTCGAATGTGGTTCGAGTCCTGGCTTAAACTCCCGCTTGGGGGTGTGCGTGCCCAAGATCCCAAGAGGAGAATGATGAAGGGATTGAGGAATGGCCATCTCCCCGGGGCTGATTTCTCGCTTTCTGTCTCTCTGTCTCTGTCTTTCCGGCGAGCGCATGCGCTCTATAGCAAAAACCTCTCAAAAAAAAAAAAAAATGATGCTGGATCCTACAATGGCCAATAGTGTGGTTCAAGTCCTGGACCCGGTGGCCTGAAAAACACACTGGGGTACTGTGTGCGTGCTCGTTCAAAATCCGTGGCCATCCGCCCTGGGGAAAGAGGAAGGTGATTTACTCTCCCCGAGTGCACACACACCCACAGCAAATGAAGAAAAAGAAAGAAAATTCAGGTCTATTTCCTACACACCAGTCTGGAGCTGGAGACGCTCCTTGCACAGGCCCTGTGCCATCTGCCACTTCACCCCTGCCTGCCTCCCTGTCACAGGGCACTGGTAGAGCTGCAGCCCCAGGCCTTCACCCCAGGGCAGCTTCCCTTGCCTTTCCTAAGCTCCCTATGGGGCAGGCTCCTTCTCACTTTAAATTCCACTTCCTCAGACCTACCAGTTTGCAAGATAAAACCACCCGTGATTCTGTCTCAAAGGCCCTGTTTATTTCCTTTGGTTTTTGTTTATCTTCTAAAATGTCAGCCCCTGAGGGAAAGTCCCTGGCCTGCCCTGATACTCCCTCAGTGGCTCTCTGGGCCTGGTGCATACCTGCTCAAGGATTACCTGTGGGTGGCCCACGGTGGCAGTCAGGAAGTTGCTGGCTTCCCCAGGCTGGTGGGCACTGAGGTCCCCCGGCCCTGCCTGGGCCCTACTGACCTTTTCCCAGCAACCTAGGAACAGATTACAAAAGGGCCATACCCCTGGGCCTTGAGGACTGTGCTCTAATCTGGGCAGATGCGCGTCCCCTCCCAGTCTGGCCTTAGGAATGACAGAAGGCCCCGGGTCTGGCCATGGTGCTTAAGGACGCAGTCCTGAGCCTCACTGCTTCTCTCGCTGGCTGTGCTCCTGGAACACTGTGGGAGTCTCAGAGCTGGACATCCTGGCAGGCCTAGGCCTGAACCCAGCGTAAGCTCTTCAAGCTGCGAAACACATGCAGATACGAGAAGAGCCCGCCAGGAAGGCTGCAGGAGCCTCCCACCAGAGGAGGTCTCTCCCCTCTTACTGACGGTGCCTGGACATTTCCTTGGTGAGGCCCTCCCTCTGGGCCTGCCATCTGGCTTCTCCTACCAGCAGTCACCTGTGGTGTCAGTCCCCTTAACTCTCGCTGCCAGAGGGGCCTAGAAACTCAGAGAAGCAGTTTCCTCCCTGCCTGAGCTTTCTGTTCTCTCCTAACGGCAAAGGCCAGAGTCCAGGGGGCTTCCAGGCCCTCGGGTCAGTGACTAAAATACAGTCTGCAGAAGCATGGTGGGTGGGAGGGCGTCACCAGTGCAGTTAGGTCCAGGGTTCTGGTGTGAGTCTGGGGTCAGGGCCAGGACAGTGCATTTCCTACCCACTTTCCCGCTGGCTCTGACAAGGCTGTCACAAAGAACTGAGTGAGAACACGAGTGCAGTGGCCTTGGCCACTGGTCCCCAAACGAACACCCCTCTCTCAACTCTCCCTCAAGAAATGAGAGTGCTGGGCTGGCCCCATAGCCTGGTGGTTAAAGGAGAGCCCACATGGCTGACTGCAGCAGTCTGAATTCTGGTCCTGGTGGCCTGAAAACATGCTGGGTGCTTGTGCAAGAAGAGCCATTTCCACCCGACAGCCCGAAGTATCTCCTACAATTCTCAAACTGGGCTGCATACATATCAGCATCCCCTGGGAGACTGAAAGCAAAAGCAAAAACAAAACAACCCCAAACCCCCCCAAAGCCCCGTAGCACTCAGGCCACACTCGTGCCACGTAAATCTGAACCTGAGGTGGCGCAGGTGCTTCCATGGAGCCGCCTTGTCGGAGGCCCAGCACAGGATGCCGCGGCCCCCCCAGAGCAGAGAGCGCGAGGCATGGCCTGTGCGTATCCAGGCTGGGCTTTATAAGAACACGAACACACCTGCAGGAGAAGCAGGGACGCTAGGGGCGGCTCAGGCTGAGGTCACTTCATCATTTTCACTGGGACAGGGCTGAGCCATATCTGCCAGATGCCCTCCATCAGTAAATCAGAGATCCTGTCACCTACTCCAAGGCCTAGGCCCAGAGAGGGCCCTGGGTCCCAGGGTGAGCCTGGGAGTGGGGGCCCGTGAGAGGCAGCTATGGGTGGCACATCAACATCAGTTTCTGGGCAGGGAGGGTGGCAGGGTTGGCTCAGACCACCGGAGGAACCTGAGTTGGGGCTGCAGCTGCTGAGGGGACAGTCTCACTTAGAGCTTTTGGAGGGGAATTCCCGCCGGCCTTGGCCCTTGCCGCCAAAGTTGCGCACCCGGTGGATGATCTGCAGCTGCTGCTCGATGGTGGAGGTGATGTTCACGTCATCCGGGATGTGGACGTAACGCACGTTGCGCCCTGTCACAAAGAGGTCATCCAGCTTGACCTGGTGCCCCCACCGGTCTGTGTAGGTGACCTGGGCCAGGCGGATGTTCATGAAAGCATCCACGTTGTCTATGCGGCCGCGGGCCACACTCTCATCCCGCAGGTCCACGGTGGTCACCAGGCCCTGGAGGCCCTGCAGCAGGATGATCAGGCTGTTCTCCGAGATGGTCCGCTCCTTCACCGAGTGGCTCACGGCCATCCTCCCACCCCGCTGGCGGCTTGCTGCGGGCAGGAGCACACGATGGGAGGGGAGCTGTAGCTGGCAGGAGGGCTGACTCCTCTCCACCAGGTCCTCGAACAAAATTCCTAGCACAGACCCCACCCCCAAGCCTGGCCAACTCCCCAGTGTGTATCTGTAGACACAGGTGCTTCAGGCACACACGGAATCCTCACACCACCTTGCAGGCCATTTACAAGCTTATACCTATTTGACAAATGAGGACAACATGGCAGGAGAGGTTAAGTAACTTGCCCAAGGTACACAGCCGGGAGTGGTGGTGCTTCCAAATCCACAGCTGCCTTATCCGGACCCACACCAGAGGTTCCAAATGCTCACTGTACACTGCAAAAACCTGGTGAGTTTTTACCCACTTTCCATACCCCAGAGATTCTGATGCATGCGGGTGGGGGGCTGGGAGGTCCTCCTATTTCTCTAAAAGCTCCTCAGGTCATTGTAACGTGCTGACAAGTTTGAGAACCACTGCTCTGAAGTGTACTTCTTTGCTACATAAAATATGGCCTGTATGGGGCTGGCAGGTGGCATGGTGGTTAAAGGCGCGGGACTCCCACATGGTCGACCACGGTTTGAGTCTTGGACTTGGTGGCTTACTTTCTGGTCAAATAAATAAATAAATAGTTAAAAAAAAAAAAACACACACAGTCTGTGGATTAACTGTTTCACCATCACCTGGGCACCTGTTAGAAACGTATAAATTCAGGGGGCTGGCAGGTGGTGTGGTGGTTAAGGGTGCTGCACTCCCTCATGGCCGACCATGGTTCAAGTCCCAGACCTGGAGACTTGCTTTCTTTTCCTTTTTTTTTTGAGAGGTTTTTGATATAGGGTGCATGTGCTCATCAGAAAGATATAGAAAGAGAAATAGAAAGCGAGAAATCACCCCCCCAGGGGGATGGCCATGCCGCAACCCCTTCTTCTCCATTTTCCTCTTGGGATCTTGGGCACGCACGCACACGGGCATGGCGTGAGTTTAAGTCACCAGGTCCGGGACTCAAACTACAGTCGACCAGAAGGGAGTCCAGCGACAAAGCCATTACGCTACCTTCTAGTCCCTTGGTTTGCTTTCTCACTTTCTCTGTCCCTCTTTGGTCAAATTAAAAAAATAAATAAGTAAATAAATAAATACAATTAAATAATTCTTAAAAAAATGTATAAACTCAGGACCAGCAGGTGGCATGGTGAAGGGCACTGGACTCCCACATGGCCAACCATGGCTTGAGTCCCTGACCTGGCACCTTGCTTTCTCACTTTCTCTCTGTTGCTCTGTCCCTCTCTGGTCAAATCAACAATAAATAAGTAAAGTTAAATAACAAATAATTCTTAAAAAAAAAAAAAAGAAAAAAAAAAATTTAAAAACAAAAAAGGCAGGTGGCATAGTGGTTAAGGTGCTGGAACTTCCCACATGGCCAACTATGGTTCGAGTCCCGGACATGGTGACTTGCATTCTCACTTTCCCCCTCTCTCTGTGTCTTTCTGGGCAAATTAAAATTAATTAATTAATTAACAACAACAAAAACAAACCTCAGATCTCACCCTGTACCCACTGAAACAATCTGCATTTAACACGACCCCTCGGGGAATTAGATGCCCCCTAGAGTTTGAAAATCATCGGTTGACACCAGCAGATCCCGTCAGAATCCCCTGGAGGGCTTGTTAAACCACAGACCTGGGCCCCACTCCCAGTTTCTGACTCAGGCCCGAGAACACGCATCACTCGCTCCCAGGTGATGCTGATGTTGCTGGGCAGAAAGAATTCCACACTCTCGGAACTACTGGTCTCACCATGCAGTTGCCACATGAATAGAGATTTAAGGAACCAATTTTCAAAAAATACAGGAACACATAAAGAACATCAATTCTGAAGGTGGAGAAACCTCGGTGGGAATCCGCATTCCACTCCTAACTGAACGGTTTCTTACAGTCGCTGAGCTGTCATGCATGCATTAAACCCTAGGCTAAACAGGGCTGCCAGGCTCTCCACACCGACGGTTCTTTCCTTCCTCTCGGGCCTGACGTCGTGTTAGCACATTAACCCGTCTGATATTTCAGTTTCCACCGCCGACTGGCAGGACCTCGCTCAGAACCGCGACAGCCCTGTGCTGCTCCGCACTGCGTGTGGCCAGCCAGGCCACACCACCGACCCGGGGAGCTGGGAGCCGGTCCTGGGAGGGGTCCCCAGCCGGGCTTCAGCCTGAGGAATCTGATCAAGCAAGGGCTCGGGGCTGCAAAGCGCAGTCCCTGGCGCTCGAGTGCGGCCCGGGTTCTAGCACCGGCTCTGCCAGTTCCTAGGAGGGAGTCCTCCCGAAGCCACTTACTTGCTTCCTCCAGGCCGGAGCTCAAGGATACCACGCGGAAGGCGAGGGCCCTTTGCTCGCACAGCCGCGGGAGTGGGTTTGTGGAGATGAGCGACAGTCCGGGCGGGGCTCAGAGGACGCTTCCCGGGCTCCCAGCCATCCGCCCGGGATCCCCGCACACCAACCACCCGGACCCACCGCACCGGATCCCCTCCGCTTTCCAGGTCCGGATCGCCCCCGAGGCTATCAGAGCTGGCCCGCCTCGCGCCGGGTGCAGGTCCGGGCGGGAAAGCCATGGTAACGGCGGGCGCTCCGCCCTCCGGAAACGCAGCCTGCGCCGGTGCGTGGGGCCGGCCGGAGACTACAAAACCCAGAATGCATCGCGTCGCGCACCCTACGTCATCGGAATCGCGCCTCAGCGGGAGGCGGGGTTCATTCATTCATTAATCGCTCATTGCGCGGCCTCGTGGTCTCGGGCTCCACTGAGCGCTGAGCAGAGAACGGCCACCAGGGCCTGATGGCTCCCTGAGCTGAAGGCGCTGTGGGAAGAGAGTTTAAGAAAGATAGGCCACGGGCCAGCAGTTGGCATAATGGCTATGTCGCTGCACTCTCATGTAGTGGACCTCGGTTCGAGTGGCTTAAACTCACTGCCGGGTGCATGTGTGTGCGTGCCCAAGATCCCGAGAGGAGAATGGAGGAGAAGGGATTGCGGCGTGGTCATCCCCCCTGGGGGGCGATTTCCCACTTTCTGTCTTTCTCTGTCTCTGTCTGGCCAGCACACATGCCCTATACCCTAAAAACCTCTCCAAAAAAGAAAAAAAGTAAAAAAAAAAAAAAAAAAAGACATTACCTATGTTGTCATTGTCAAAAAAAAAAAAAAGTCATTGTCAACAGAGGTGTCACTGCCCAGAAATCAAACAAATGTAGAATATAAGCATGTATGATGTAGAATATAACATGTATAGAGAGGCATTGTGGCATTAGTGGGGACCGTCAAGGTAACCAAATAATCCACAATAATTTCCATTTCTCCCTACGATGGATCTTAAAAAAAAAGAATCCTGTCACCAAGCATGAGAGAGGAAGAGAGGAGCATGTGCCAGGGTGTTTTTCAAGGTGCTGGGGCTGGGACTGGAGGGGTGACCAGATCTGTGGGATCCAGCTCTCTGTCCACTAGGCCGTGTAACCACACTTGAAAAGCAGTGAGTTACACGAAGCTGCAGGGAAGATTGGACTGTCCAGGGTCCCGGTTCCTCCTGGAACTCCCTCGGCTCTCTCATTCCTGACTCCCTCTGCTGTCAGCTGTCCAGGAATTCAGCAGCTGAAAAGGAGTTTATCCAGACCATTCTTCAAAGGCAATAAGAGGTTGGAAACGATTGTTTTAGTTTTCAGATTAAAAAAATTTATTTGCTATATAGGCTGTGTGTGCTTACTAAAGAGAAAGAGAGCGACAGAAAGGGAAAGTGAGAAATCACCCCACAGGGGATGACCACACTGGAATCCTTTCTCCTCAATTCTTCTCTTGGGATTTTTGAATATGCACATACATGCGCCTGGTACAATTTTTGTCTTTTGCTTATTGTTAAGTTCTTTGCCATAGGGTATGTGCCCTCACCAGAGAGGAGAGACAGTAAGAGACAAAGTGATAGATTACCCCCAGGGTGCATGAACATGCCACAATCCCTTCTCCATTCTATGGGATTTGGGGCATGCACCCACACATGCCCAGTCTGGCATGATTTTTAAGTTGCTGAGTTTGGAACGCAAATAGTATAGTCTGCCATGTGAGATTCAGCTGCTTAACCACCATGCCACCAGCTGGCCCAAGTTTTCAGATTTTTTTCTTTTTTTTGGAGAGGTTTTTGCTATAGGGCGCGTTCGCTTGCCAGACAGACAGACAGAAACAGAGAGACAGAAAGCAAGAAATCACCCCACCCCCCGGGGGGATGGCCACGCCGCAATCCCTTCTCCTCCATTCTCCTCTCGGGATCTTGGGCATGCACGCACACGCGCCCGGCGTGAGTTTTAAGCCACCGGGTCCGGGACACGAACCACGGTCGACTACGTGGGAGTCCAGCGACATAGCCATTACGCTAACTGCTAGTCTCAACTTTTCAGATTTTAATGTGAGTCTTTAAGATTAGGTATTAGATAATTTGGATTTATTATTATTAATTTGCTGTAGGGTGTGTGCACAGAGAGGGAGAGAGAGAAAGTGAGAAAGCACCCCCCACCCCCCGGGGATGACCACATTGGCATCGTCTCTCCTCTACTCCCCTCTTGGGATTTTGGGCACACATACACATGTGCCCAATATCTTTCAAGCCTCTGGGTCCAGGACTTGAACTGCACAGTCGGCCATATGGGATCCAGCTGCCTTAGTACCACACCACCAGCTGACTTCTATTTAAAATTATTATTATTTTTTTTTGGAGAAGTTTTTGCTATAGGGTGCGTGTGCTCACCAGACAGACAGACAAAGAGAGACAGAAAGCAAGAAATCACCCCCCAGGGGAGATGGCCACGCCACAATCCCTTCTCCTCCGTTCTCCTCTCGGGATCTTAGGCACGCACGCGCACGCGCCCAGCATGAGTTTTAAGCCACCGAGTCCGGGACGCGAACAGTGGTCAACTACGTGGGAGTCCAGTGACATAGCCATTACACTAACTGCTGGTCCCATGTTTAAAATTTTTTGAAATACTTTTAGGTTTGGGGGGTGTTAGTTTCAAGTGAATCTAGCTGCTACAGTAGCACTCGGCCACGGCCACGGTAGCACTCGGCCATGGCCACGGTAGCACTCGGCCACGGCTAGAATCTAGGTGCGTGAGCCCTGTCTTGTTTCCTTTGCTCCCTGCTGGCTCCCATGCTCCTCTGGTGGCGCTGAAGCCACGCCAGCCAGCTTGTTTCCCTCAGTATTTGTGTAAGTCTAGAGACGTGAAATTCAAGAATTGCCTCATCACAGGGCTGCCTTGCCAGAGATCTGTATCTTGTTTATTTACCAAGATACGTTTGTGGTCGCCCTATCACTCTGGGGTAGGTGCAGGGAGGGAGCTGCTGCTTCCGGCCTCCAAGGCCCCAGGACATGCAAGGAACAGACAGGGAAGCTAGGATTTGTGACCATGTAGCAGCTACACTCCAAGCAGGGCGGCACCTTCCCTTCACCTGTCACCCCATCAGGGCCCCAACTGCTGACTGGATTGCTAAAAAGACACTAAATCAGAAGGCACTCCGTGTCTGCCACAGACACCTCCGCAAGATACACGTCTTCCCAACAGACCTTCTGCAGGGCGAAGATGTCTTTATTTATTTATTTAAACTTTATTTATTTTAACTTGACCAAAGAGGGACAGAGAGAGAGAGGGCGGGGGGAGTGAAAAAGCAAACCACCAGGTCTAAGACCTGAACAGAGGTTGGCCATGTGGGAGTCCAGTGTCCTTAACCACCACGCCACCTGCCGGCCTCAAGATGTGTTTCTTTTTTTTCTTTTTCTTTTTACTTAATGGCTATATGGCCAGCAGGTGATGTGGTGGTTAAAGGTGTTGGATTCCCATATCACCAACCATGGTTTGAGTCCCAGACCTGGTGGCTTGCTTTCTTGCTTTCCTTTTTTCTCTCTCTCTCACTGTCTCTATCTGGTCAAATTGAAAAATAATAATAACAAACGGAATTAAATAAATAAATAATTCTTTTTAAAAATAATTAGTTTATTATTTTTTTCCACATGAATTTTGCCAGAGAAAGACCGAATGAGAGAGAGAGGGAGAGTGAGAAAGCAAGCTGCCAAGTTTGGGACTCAAATCGCCGTTGGCCATGTGGGAATTCCAGCGCTTTAACCACCATGCAACCTGCGGGCCCTTAAATAAAGAGTTCTTAAATGATTAAAAAAAAGAGTTATTTTATTTATTTTTTATTTTTAAAGAAATGGTCAACTCTGTGTTTGACCACTTCCATTTAAAAAAAAATTAAAGAATTATTTTAACTTTTATTTTTGTATTTAATTATTTTAATTTAACCAGAGAGAGAGAGAGAGAAAGTGAGAAGGCAAGTTGTCAGGTCCAGGATTTGAACCACGGTTGGCCATGTGGAAGTCCAGCACCCTTAACCACCATGCCACCTGCCAGCCCCTAATCTGTTTATTTTAAACATTTTGCTATAAGGCTCACCAGAGAGAAAGAGTGAGCATGAAAAAGCAAAGCCTCTAGGTCTAGGACTCAAACCATAGTCAGCCATGTGGGAGGTCCAGTGCCTTAACCACCACTCACCTGCCGCCCTCAGAGTGTCTGTATAGGTCAGAAAGTGTAACTTCAGTGGGTAGGAAGCAAGTACTTACGATCATTTCCCTTCCTGCATCTGAACCCTGTGCTAAAGGCCAGCCAGACGGCAGCTTCACTGGGCCTTTTCAGAGCCATGCTTGCCTCTGTTCTTCCCAGGTGGGAGTAGCCATGGAGGTCCCTGCAGTCAGCCCCACCCCAGACGGTGCCCAGCTCAGTTAGCCTCTCCTAGCTCTGCCATAGGGCTGCCTGGACCTGGGTCTCTGTGTGCTGGCTGACCCCGAGCATGCTGGTTACTCCGTCTTAGGAGCTTGTGGTGGAGGACTGCCCCCTGAGAATACCATACCTGGACCCAGGTAGATCTGGCATCCTTGCCAAGGGAAGTGGCTCAGCTGGCACCAGGAAGGGAAAGTGGCAACCATGTGTCTTTTGCACACCGGCCTGGGGCTCTGTGGGTAGGGTGTCTGATGGCAAAGCCGAGGACAGAGCTGTCCCAGCACATCGAGCTGGTGTCCTTAGAAGGCAAGCAGCCTAGGTGGCCCAGGATGACTGTGGGGTACAGAGAGCTGAACAGCCAAAGGTCCTCTAGGTTTGCATCTTTTTTTTTTTTTAAGAGATTTTTGCTATAGGGTGCGTGCGCTCACCAGAAAGATAGAGAGAGACAGAGAGACAGAAAAAGAGAAATCACCCCCCAGGGGGGATGGCCACACCGCAATCCCTTCTCCTCCATTCTCCTCTTGGGATCTTGGGCACACATGCACACGCGCCTGGCATGAGTTTTAAGCCACCGGGTCCAGGACGCGAATCGCGGTCGACTACATGAGAGTCCAGCGACATAGCCATTACGCTAACTGCTGGTCCCTGGTATGTGTCTTTGTGTGGGCTAACCCACATCCCAATGTGGGCAGGGAGACAGGCAGACCCATGTCCTGCCAGGGGCCTGGCTGGGTGCACACTTTTTTGCCCACTCTGAGCTATGGTTTGAGTGAGGCCCTCCAAAATCTACGAGACAGGAATTTGGTTGTGGGATTAAGAGGGTGAGAACTTACTCTGTGGAAGTAAGCAGTGGGCCTTTGGGAGGTGATCAGGATTAAGGTCATCAGGCTGGGCCCCGCCATGATCAAATGCCAGTGGGTCTGAGACAGGTACACGGACACGGACACAGACAGGGGGCGCTGCTTGGCCTCCTCTTGTGATCGACGCCTGCTGCCATGTTACCCACCAGCATGACCCTTGCCAGAGGTGGCCCCTTGACCCTGCACCTCCAAAACTACGAGCTGGAGAAGCCTCTTCTTCTTTTTAAAAATACTTATTTATTTATTTCCACTTATTATGATTATTTTTTGCTTTTGGACTAGACAGAGAGAAAGGGAATGCGAGAAAGCAAGCCGTCAGGTCTGGGACTCGAACTATGGTTGGCCATGCAGGAATCCAGAGCCTTTAATTACCACGCCTCTGCCAGCCCTGAAGTCTCTTCTTTTAAAGACACAATTTTCCTTTACCCATGACAGAGCATGTGCATGCACATGTAAGTGACAGAAAAAAAGCGACCGAGGGAACCAGCAGTTAGCGTAATGGTTATGTCGCTGGACTCCCACGTAGTCAACTGCGGTTCGCATCCCGGACCTGGTGGCTTAAAACTCACACCGGGTGCATGTGCATGCGTGCCCAAGATCCCGAGAGGAGAATGGAGGAGAAGGGATTGCGGCGTGACCATCTCCCCTGGGGGGTGATTTCTCGCTTTCTGTCTCTATGTCTCTCTGTCTGTCTGGCGAGCGCACGCACCCTATAGTGAAAACCTCTCCAAAAAAAAAAAGAATAAAAGCAACCGAGAGGGGCGTCCTCTATGGGGTCTGGCCACGCCCTGGCCCCTCCCTCCAGCCCTCCAGGCCACTGGGTCTCAGGTACTCGGGTGTGTGTGCTTCGCGCCCTTCGTGTTTCACGCCAGCTGGGCTGGGATCCGAATCGTGCAATCACCGCGTGGGATCCAGCTCTTCTTTCTTCTTTCTTTTTCTTTTTTTTTTTTAGAGGTTTTCGCTATAGGGCACGTGCGCTCGCCAGAGACAGACATAGAGACAGAAAGTGAGAAATCATCCCCCAGGGGGGATGGCCACGCCGCAATCCCTTCTCCTCCATTCTGGG